TTCTCGATGACGACAATGTCATTGTCGAAGGCGCGACCAAAAACCAAGTTTTGGGTCGTTTGTACAGGACCAGAACTAAACATTTTGGTCGCGACATTTTCGGGCGCCTGGAGATGGAACCACTTTGCGACGTGAAGAATTCGGCTGGTCTCAAGTTTTTCCAGTTTCACTATGCGTACTACGAAGATGAAGTCCTACATCGCATCATTGGGTGGGCGCATCCGCAGCTGATGGACCGTATCAAGCAACGACACTGCTCCATCTTCATCGATGCCACCTACCGATGTGTGCCTATTCGCTTTTACCAGCTGGTAATTTTGAAGCTCTACGACCCAATTTCGGACCTGTATCTCCCAATTTGGTACGAGTTGACTACGGGGAAGACATCTCAAGTTTACGAGCACCTGCTGCACTCCATCTTCGTCGCATCCAAAAAGAAGTTAGACCCAGCTCACGTGGTGTGTGATTTTGAGTACGCACTCATCAAGGCCGTCAAGACCCAGTTTCCGGATTCTACAATTGTGGGCTGTTTGTTTCACTTCAAGCAAGCTCTGCGACGGAAAATGTTGAAGTTGAAGATAACCGAAGACGAGGTGAATCTGGCTATGATTGACGGTTGTATTGACCGGCTTACTGTGATCCGTCGTCTCGACATCGTTTTTCGTGGAATTCCAGATGTTCGTCGTATGATCAAGCGTGGCTGTGGATACCAAGGAATTCCGTATTCGAAGGATAACTGGACGAAATTCTGGAAGTACTTCAAGACAACCTGGATCAAAAAAATTATTCCGGTATGGTGGAACACCAATGGATTGGGCGAAGACATTATAAATCGAACCAACAACCCTCTGGAACGCTACAACCGGGCGCTCAACGACGCTTTTTCTGTAGCGCATCCGGATGTGACCCAGTTCATCAGCGTGATTGAAGCTCAAAGCAGGGAGTACGTTCGACTCATCAACGATATATCCAACCGCAGAGCCACCGCTCCTGCCCATGCATTAGCTCAGCCTGCTCCGGCTTTTGACTCGGATTCGGACTTCGAAGTGGACTCGGACTCGGATTTAGATGTCAGTGACCAGGGCTCTGAAGTCTCGGATGATGCTTCCGTGGCCTCGAGATCTCCTGAATACTGAGCTACATACAAAACGATTTGTATATGGTTTCTACACATTCTAATCAAATACATCGTGCCCGGTTTTGGGTGATGGTACCTATTTTCTTTGGCATCGGATTAAAATGTACTTTTCAAGTAAAGTTATTTAGTGATACGATATCCTTCTGTATGCCTGTGTCCGCTGTGATTTCAGATTTTAGCGAGATTCACTTATCTCAACTCAAATCCTTATCAGAAGGGGAGCCCGACTCATGGTACTGAGCATACTGGCGGTCAATCAAGTTCACTCGGTGGCACCCGTCGGTCGCATTTGTGCAGTTCTGTGAGAGCCCCCTAGTGAACGTGACCGAAAGTCAATATACTCGTACTGAGTTGAGTTTTGCTACCAGGTGGAATCGAACCACCGACCTCTCGTTTATGAAGCGAGATCTTTACCACTAAGCTATGGTAGCGTTATTCAAAAACTAAATCACATGCATATTTAAATAAAAAATACTGTCTACTTTAATGTTTCGTTGATATTTTTGAATATAATTTAAAAGAGGTTTATCTCTTATAATAGCTATAAAACAAATTAATCGCTTCTTGGGTCAAATTTGGATCAAATTGATCCAAATTTGACCCAAGAAGCGAGTTGCGCAGGATTTGACCTGCACCAAATTTGACCCAAGAAAAAGATTTTCAATATTAGTTGCCGCACCATTTCAAGTAGTGGGCACACTCTATGTTTTAGTAAGTGCACACTATTTATTCTTGCAGTGATGTTCGCACTTTTGTGTGCCAATTTCCAGTCTTTATTCAAAACTCTACTACAGAAGATCCCTTCGGTTTTGATCGCGTTGGGAACCCACAATTTATTCCTGTACAAGGGTATTCCTGTTCACGTATGTACTATAATATATGGTTCCGAGTACCTTTGGTTTGGAACAGTGCGGCTGCCAAACTGTACAAGGTGGGGACTCGGCAGGCAATTTGTGTTAGAAATCGCTCCTGTAGTGAAGCTCACGCTATGCAGCGTGTAGCCATGATGAGACGCCACCCTCTGATATGTAGAGTGATGGTCAAGAAAGGCAACTAGTGAACACTAGGTGCTCTAGTCTCAGTCCAAGATTTCCCTTTAACGTAACAAGTTGTCTGTGAGTGAGTTCTTATCCAAAAATTCCAACAGGGTTATGAGCCCAAATACCCGACGCTTCGGACAGAAGAACAGCAAGAGCACTACAGAAACAATGTCATCCTCGTCAGACTCGG